AAGTATCCTCAGTTATTTGTTTTAAATGTTGAAGAGACATGGAAAAGTTTGAAAAAACTAAAGAATGCAATGGACGAATTTCAAAAATTAAGCCTAGACACTTATCATAAGCAAGTTAGACTATTGAGTGACGAGAATGCATGTACGAATACGCATGTCGCAAATCAACGTGAAAAGCGATGCCACCAAAGTTCTACAGGCAAAAAGATAGTCCCTTATGGAAGAAACGTGATGTAACAAAAGCTGAAGTTGCATAAAGATGAAATGCCCTTTCAATTTGACGACGATTTATTCTGAAGTTCAAAAGTTGAGGTACATACAAATTACATTGGCTTATTGCATTGTTTATCCGTACACCTCCTGTTGAGGACACACAGCATAAATTCTCCTACCCCCCGGATTTCCAAGTAATATTTTGTCAGAAGCCCTGGAAATATGTGGTTTGTAGAAGGGGGTGCCTGTAATTCCAATTGTGTTTAATCAATAACCCTTGGAAATTTATTTTTTTTCCGCATGACTCCGGAATTCCACTGTGAATAAGTTCATCTCCCCTGGAATTTCCAGTTCTGGTATCATTATTTATCCCCTTTCCTGGAATTTCCATGTAAATCTTATTATTCTGACCCTCACCCATTGGAATTCCAGGGTTATTTCAACCCCCAACCCACTGGAATTCCAGGTTGGTTTGACCCCCACCCACTGGAATTCCAGGGTTAAATATAAAAGGCATCCCCTGGATTTCCAAGGTTCTCAACAGGGGGTGTACGGATAAAAAATGCAATATGCCATTGTTGATATTTTTACATACACAATAACATAATTGTTACCCTGGTTGCCTGAGGCGATTCTCGAGCAAAAAGCCTCTGGCAACCAGGGTACATAATTGTAAGCTTTAATTAATTGCCTGCCATATTGCTGTTTTGCAGTCACGCTATATTTTTAAACTAACCTTTTACAGCATATAAATACATGTATTTTTTTATGTTAATAGGTCAAAGTATCACACCCAAGTAAAATAATAATCAAAACTGACTTTGATAAGACAAGATCAAGCATGATAAAAAGTGTAGTTTCTGGAAAATATGATACCCTCGTTAACACAGTATGGGCATCTCAAATGCTAAAGGTGAAAGTATTAAACAAAGTTGGATATGAGATCCAGGAAGAATGCAAATCCATCAGTAGCAAAAAGAAACCATCAGTTCTGTCCCATGTGTCTCCTGCTAGTATAATTTCTAGGACATGGATGTTGTAAATGAACTGAAGGAACAGGCACCTATAACTCATCACTGTATGCGACATACTAAAACGCTGTTTTCTGACCATCAGAATTCTGTCAAATCTTCCCCAAAGTCCAGGAAATGGCATTTCAGATTCTAAATTCAAAAATTTCCTCTGGCCTTTGGCCCTCGCTTTCAGCCCCAATAAAAAAGAGCTCCATACAGTCTTGTATGCTTTGATACTTAATGTCATGTTTTAGAAATATTAATAGATAATGAGATATTACTGCAACTCTATAATATAAATGGAATGGTAATTTTCATGTAAATAATATGTTCATTTTAATTTTATCATGAACAGAGCATTTATATTCATGTCTAAGTACTATTATCCAAACAAGTTGAATTTTTGTTTACTTTTTATTAATTGAATCATTGAATTTGGTGAACTATATAAAGTGTATTTCCATTTTAATAAAAAATTAAAATTAGTTACCATTTAGGAACAACATGGGCTTCATCAGCAACAATGCCAAACAAATTTTCCTGGTATATACTGCTCTGTAACATGGTACGCCAATTTTTGTTTAGGATTAATGACTCTGGATTAGTAAATAATAATAATAACTTTATTCAAACAAAAATACCAATGCTGGTATATATAGAATATAGCAAATGTCTATTATAAATTATATAAAAATAATATAATAGAACAGAGTAATAATAATAATATATATTAATAATAATAATAATAGTAAATATTATAGAATATTTGTCAAGTCATTTATGTCGCACATTCCATCGTTCAAAGAACAATCTTTAATTCCATGCTTTTTAAGTTCTTTTAAATGGGAATCAATCAAAGCATTCAAAGGGCAAATAACAATAAGAATGGTGTTCATTGGATATAATAAGGAAATCCACAGTTGTGAAAGTACGCACAAATTTTCGGAACCATTTGAAATATTAGCGACTTCCCGTAACAACCCGTGGGAAGTACAGCGAAAACATCCTTCCTTTTAATATAATTGTATAGTGCCTCCTCTTGTTTGAGTTTCATATCTTCTATGTTAGGAAACTGAGAGTGTAGAGTATATGATACTGCATTACAAAAAATCTGATCAAAATCATCGTCACTTTGTTTGGCAGCCATCTTTAGTATTATTAAAATGCAAAATGTTAAACTGGTGTTAAATCGGCTTATACAATGGAAGCGAGGTTCAAATTTTGAACCTAGAACTCGAATTCTCAACTGATTTAACCAGAGGTTCTCCCCCTCTCCGAGAGCCTCTGGCAACCAGGGTAATATTTCAAGTATTTAGGCTTCGAAATTCAGTTGAAACCAGAATAGAGAAAGTCTATTATTAATTTGCTACGTGGTGAAGACGCTGGTTATCGTGATTCATCCTACGGAATACGGAAAATCTGCAAATCAAAGCTTGCCCGAGTGGCAGGGATCGAATATATATTTCCTTATAGTTGTCTTGTTATTTGTTCACTTTAAAGCATAATTCAAGACCAGATAGTTGAGGCTACATCACTTGGCATTGCAGCTATGAGGTTGGATGATGATTTTAAGAATAACATTTCACAACATGCTCAACTGTAATAATTTTGCAGTTAATTTGCTATACGGCAGAATACGTTAAACCACCGTGGTTCAGGAGCCTTTTAAAAGATAAAAGCTCTTTGCTGTGTTGTGACTGTTGTCTAAAATAGCTTCAAAAACTGATTAATAATTCATGAGGAAGAAACACAAAGAAAAATCATAAACGTGTATCTTTATATGTGATAGAGATTTCCCTTGATTTACATAAATTTTAAGTTTGATTTTCTTTACATACACAACGAATTTTTTGAAAGCTATTTGCCAATGAACTTATACTAGAAGAAGCAATTTAAAACATTCGCAGTGCGTGTTTTATCAGACCATCTTTATATCTGATAAAACACTGCTGCTCATGTTTTAAATAGTACATAAAATCTATAAAATCTCTGCAAATCTCCCTATAGTTGCTGAGCAAAAAGCATGCATAATGCTAAATATAAATCTCGACTATGATTGGATAATGGGTGAAGGTGCTAAAATTACAAAACGTCAATCATCCTTAATGGGCGAAAACAAATTTGTCATAGCCATCTGGGCAGGCGTTTCCTCAGTTCCCGCCCATCAGCTAAATGCCTGCTATGCAGGCTAATTCTTTCGCAACACAGGATATCGGAAGCAAACCGGAAGAGAATGATCATGTGTCAAGACATCCTCGTTCCCAGGACTGACATGAAAAATAGAGGCATTCTGGCAAGTAATATCTTTAGAAAGATACAATTTGAGTTGCGCTTGCGGAATGCAGCAATAAGACTTTGATCTGGAGATCAATTGGTGTTTTGTTAAGCCTATTTTTCAAAAATAATGAATAATGAAAAATTTTCGTGCGGCAGACAAATCCCATGCGGGCGGGGACGAGAAACATTATATCAATTTTCATTGGCCTAATAGTACCAGACTATGAACTAAAATATAAATATAATCTCCTAACCTTATCGCTGTACATTTCCATTGTGGTGAACGAGCACCGAATTGAAATCTCTAGCGAGACTGGTTCTGGTGATATAATTGTGGATACAATAGTCAATAGCGGCTAAAAGCTCTTCGTCGATATATCGATCTTGTATTGAAGTATTGTTAATCTTTAATCTTTAATAAAATTTCTTTTAACACAGTAGCCTATTCAGTATAATATATACAGTCTGTTTTTCAAAGGGCCATGCTATATAGTATTAAACACACATTAACTATGGATATTTACAGTTAATTACAGCACATAATTATTACACACTCCATTAATTTCGGAAATGCATTATACATTATTCATGTGCAAGCTTAAGGGTTAAACGCCATTTGAAATCGGGTAAAGATAAATCCTGAATGTTATTAGTTACTTCATCCGATAATTCGTTCCAGCCTTGTGCTGCTCTATAAGAGAAACTTCTTTTAAGAAAGTTAGTTCTTGGTTTAGGCAAAGATAGTTTAACATTATTGCTTCTTAGAGAATAATTACTATTTTCACATCTCGTGAAGAAATTCTGCACATAATCAGGTAGTCTGTTAGTTAAAGCTTTAAACGTCATAATGATTTCTCTTTTCTTTAAAATGTCTTCAATTGGCATCCAATTGAGACTTTCTAGTATTTGAGTGGAACGAACATCGTATGATTGTCCTGTGATAACCCGAGCTGCTCTTCTTTGTAACTTAGAGAGTTTGTTAAGAATGGTATTAGATCCATCATTCCATATTGTTGAGCAATATGTCAGGTGAGGAGATACTAGAGCATTATACATTTTGATTAGAATGTGTAAAGGAACAAAGGACTTAGCTCTTCTTAGTAATGCAATATTTTTTGAGATTTTTTTACATTGTGCGTCAATGTGTATACCCCACTTTAATTGATCTGTCGATGATAAAACCAAGAGATTTTTTGTTGGTGACCCGTTTAATATTATTATCTCGTATGGCTAATGAAATTTCTGGGTTGTCTTCAAATTTAGTAAGATGATGTCTAGAGCCAATTATCATAAATTCTGTTTTGCTATCGTTTAGCGTGAGTTTGTTACATCTAAGCCAACTATGAACATTCTCAAGATCTCTTTTACGTTTAGTCTCGATTTCATTGGCATCTAAGCCGGCACACAAAAGATTTGTTTCTAAACAACTTAGGTAGATCGTTAATATACAAGAGGAATAGGATGGGGCCAAGTTTAGAACCTTGTGGTACCCCACACCTAATTTCTCTAGCATGTGATTTTTTTCCATTCATTAAACAAATCGATTTTCTATTTTGGATGTAAGATTCAAACCATGCGTAAGTAGTTCCTTTTATGCCGTATAGGTGAAGTTTCTTTAATAAGATTTCATGGTCAACAGTGTCAAAAGCTTTTTTCAAGTCCAAGAACAGGACTCGATTGATTAAACCACTGTCCATGTTATATAACCACTCATTTGTCGAACCTAAGAATGCCATCTCAGCAGAGTGTTGTGAATGAAAACCGGACTGTTGCTCTACAAGAATGCTATTGTCGGCAATAAACATTCTCAATTGATTGTACACTAGCCCTTCAAACAGCTTAGCAACCACAGAAATTACAGAGATTGGTCTATAATTTCCACAATCAGTTTTATTCCCTTCTTTAAAGACTGGTGATACCTTGGCAATTTTCCACTTGTCTGGAAAAATTGCAGTCTGAAGAGATAGATTAAAGATGTTGGCTAATGGTTGCGCGATAACATTGCTTGTATCTTTTAATAGTTTTACACTTATGCCATCCAGTCCTGGTGATTTCCTTGAATTAAGTTGGTTTAAAGCGTCAAAAGTCTCCTGGACTGAAATACATGAAAAGTGAAACAAACTCTCCATAGGAGTGACAAATGTCATAGGGTCAACATTAATATTTTGGACATTTTTTGACAGTTTACAACTGATGGATGAAAAATACTGATTAAAACAGTCCGCAATATTTGTGTCTCCAGTTATAACTTGGTCATCTACATTTAGCTGTGTTACATGGGTAGTTTTGGGCTTTTTGTTTAAAAGCTCATTAATAGCCTGCCAACTCTCTTTGTTATTATTTGCATTGGATAACTTCGTTTTAAAGTATTCTTCCTTAGTCTTTTTAATAAGCTTATTTAATTTATTCTTGCATCTTTTGTAGGCCTCATTATAATTACTCGATGTTAAACGAACACTCTGTCTTTTAAGATAATCCCTATGGTGCATTAACCATTTTATTTCTTTCGTCAGCCATGGTTTATGCTCACTCTTAACGCGACGCTGTCTAACTGGCGCGTGTTTTTCAGCAATAGTAAGAAAGTTGTTCTTAAATTCATTCCATAGCACATTTGGACCATTTGATGTGGGATCTAGATTAGTATAGTAGCTTAGTTCTTCTTTAAATTGGTGGGAGTTGTAATTTTTGAACTGTCGTGTAAATACAATTTTTGGTGGCTCTTTAGGAATGCTAATTTTCCGACATATATAAACAAGACTATGGTCACTAATCCCATGGTCAACAACCCTGGCTTCTAAGGTTTTATCATCGTTGATATGTGTAAGAATTAAATCAATCAGAGACGAAGAATTATAACTAGTTCTAGTAGGGGTTTGTATGTGTTGCTGCAGTTGGAAAATATCAATAATATCAATTAACTTAGAAGTAGCTTGGTTTTGAGTGTGCTCAATAAAATTACAATTAAGATCCCTGGTTATGATAATATCTTTGTCTTCATTATCAATGAGCTTCAGGAAGTTTTCGAACTTTTGGAATAATTCAATTTTTGCACTCGGTGGTCAATACCAAGTTGAAATAAGCACTGGTTTACTTTTGGGTTTTCTAACTTCAATACAAAGCAATTTGAGAGTATCTTGTAATAAATCTTCACGTATGATATATGGAATGATAGTCCTTATATATATAGCTACCCCTCCCCCATGTCTGTTTTGGTCAGATCTGGCAATATCATAACCAGGTATATCTGTACTTCACAGTCTAGGAAAGTACTGTTTAATCTAGTTTCATTTATGGTCAATATATCAAAAGGTTCATCGCGCATATAAATAAGTA